TATGCGATCGACACTCCTGCAGATGGCATCTGTAAGCCCATCCTCCTACCAACAATCTCCAAATGGCATTTGTAAGCCCATTCCCGATATCATAATGCTGATACTACACCATGCGAGTGCAAATTTTTGGGCACTCTAGTGTTCAATTATCTTCCACCTTCGGATCATGAAAGGCTCGAAAGCCAATCTATATCCTCAGGTTTAAGAAAATTGAACAGGGGCAACTGTTGTACCCTAAAATTTGCCCTCCCATATTTCTCAACATTTCAAGAAAAATTCACAAATCCAACCCGGCGCGTCATATTCAGGTGTTCTTTCACCAAGATATCTCTGATAACGTATTCTCAAATTCAGGTTCGGCTCAAGAGTCAATTCTTTAAAGAAGGTATCCGAATGTGTGAGTTTTCTTGAAGAAATATGGTGAAAAGTGTGCTGAAAGTGCAGTTTTTACGCGCTAAAAAATTCATAACTTGAAGATCGTGACTCGTTTTGAACCCGTTCCGGTGGCCAAAATTCCATCTTGACATTATCTACATTTTCATCTCTCACGGCTGGAAGTCAATTTCGATCAGAAGGTCTTCAAAAATGTGGATTTATCAAGTATTTTCATACAGAAAATTTGTGACAGAAGTTTATTTGCGTCATGTTCAGAAAATCATAACTTCGTCGATTTTCATCGTATCGAGCTGGTTCTGGCGCAAAAATTTCAAAAATTGAGTTGGCTACATTTTCACAGAAGGTATTCAGTTCAAACGGTATTCAAAAGGCCTTCGTTTTTTGCTCAGAGTGCATGACACGCCGAAAATCCTGAATGCTGAATAGTATTTCATCTGGGCTGAAACTTCGAAAATTCATAACTCGGTCAATTTTTATCGGATTGGGCTCATATTTTTACACAAGGTCACTGACTCATATATCTACAACTTTGCTTCAAAAGTCGAGACCAAATTATGCTCCGATCAATACCAGTTTTTATTGAAGAACGTGTCAGAGTCGACACTAGAGCCCAAAATAAGTTTGTTTGAGTTGAAACTTCAAAAATTTATAACTAATTCACTGTTTATCCGATTGAGCCGATTTTTGGACAGGAGTTAGTTCTCGATGTCGGCTACATTTTGTTTTCACATTTCAACTTCAAAAATTTCACTTAAGTCCCTGCGATTTAGCCTGGAAAGTGACGAACTCAAGTGAACATTGGAGGCCCAATTGCACATTCAAAGCCTATTTTCTTTGCTCTAATTTCCATTATATAATCTCATTCTTTTCACACAAACAAAGAGAGAGAAAAACCCATCCCGGTTACAAACCAACATCTCACTACAAACAAGTCATCCCGGTTACAAACCAACATCTCACTACTTCTCCCGTAAGGGTAAGGCTGACTTGATCTCCATGATCAAAAGGGCATAAAAGCATTCATATCACTACTTCTCCAGTAAGGGTAAGGTTGATTTGATCTCCATGATTAAAAGAGTATAATTATTCATACATGTCATATTGGCCTAAACATTAAATTTCTTCATATATTGGCTTTTATTTGTATTTTATGATATATAGCAATTTATTTAATGTGTTCATGAGATTCAACACTGCAGATTTAGACAGGATCCCATGCAGATTCATTAAGGAACGGTGGGGCCAAAACACAAATGGGAAAAAGCCAAAACACAAATGGCCAAAATAAAACAGCTTACACATGACACCAATACATGGCGAGGCAGACATCCTGAGAAGGTTAAGGAACGTTGAGGCCAAAACACAAATGGCCAAAAGTCAAAACACAAATGGCCAAAACAAAACAATTTACACATGACGCCAACAGCTGTTTCACCCATCCAATCAGACCCGTATACTCCTAAACTCTCTCTCTATTTTTATTATTTTCCTTTAGTTAATTAATCGTTATTCTTTTTATTAGTCACTAACCAATTAACATTTTTTCTTATAAAATCAAAAACACAAAAAATATTTTATTTATTAAAATTAACTTCATCACTTTTATTTTTGTAAATAAATTAATTAATCAATTAGCTTTAATTAGATTTAACTTTTAATATTTTTTATAATATCTAAAATCAATTTAGAATATTAGGTTTTTATTAGCATTAATTCAATTTATTTTATTTCTTTAAAAACTCAAAAATCCAAAAATATTTTTATTATTAATTTAATTTAATTGTTCATTTAATTTAATTCCATTTAATTCAAAAATAAACAAAATCCTTTCTTTAATAAAAAGGATCAAAACCCCTAAAAACTCGCCGATTTAATTTTCTCGCACGCGATCCATTTACCATATTGTAATTGCTTCCGGTATGTAATAGCTTTTAATTAGGACTTTATTTTACCCGCTTTATTTTATTTTCCGCATTTTAAATTAAAGGGTTGTTTTTTGCGATGTAAATACCCGACGCCTGTTAATAGTTTAGATTTATTTTTCCGCAATTTAAATTCCGCAACTATACATTGTTAGATGTTTGATAATAGGGAATGCATGACAAGATCGAATGTTGAACTTAAAATCAACATAGCTCCACCCATCACATGTAAGATAATTAACTGAAAATTAACACACTTACACATGCCACTCCTAGGGTACGCCTCACTTGGTTGCCTCGAACATGGTCATTGAGTATAGGAAGTTTTAGAGGTCGCCCTCTTGTCCAAAGATCATAAGTTGCCTCGAAATAGTTGCCTCGGAAAAAAATGATCTAAGACATTAGGGTTACCGCTAAGGCATCCTAACATTGCTTTAGTGACCACATGTCCCTTAATCGAATTGACTCCGAAAAAACTCCAACGACGGTGCCTACATACTCCTCAATAGTGGGATAGCACTGTCTAAAGGACATTTGCACAGTTTAATTTCTTTTTGAGTAGGTAGATGTTCTTAAGTACTTGCTCCTTTTAAAATAAAACAAAATTTTTCGCACTTACACTCTCTTCAAAAACAAAACTCTTCTCAAAACCCACAAACAACAAGAAAAGCAAATTTTGAAAACACAATGAGCAAGTACCTAAGAGCCAGTGGATAACCACGGATAGAAAGGGTGCTAACACCTTCCCTTTCTATAATCTACCTCCGAACCCGAGAACATCTCGAAAAAGGAATTTTTCTGTGCTTTTGTCCTTTCCTTGTTAGATAAAATAAAAGACGGTGGAGACTCTTGCTTACCGCGACATTTTGCGAAAACAAACGCAAAACGCAAACCAGCATTCCAAAAACAGTCAGTTCTATTCCCACCAATCACAGGATGCATTGAGACACATGTCATGGGTAACCATTTCAAATATCTTTATGAATCCCCCTAAAAATCAGCTATCATTAAAGCTCATAATCATTATATTTAATTCTCTCTCTTGCCGTTTATGTTTTCAAAATTTTTTAGAATCTATTTAAACACATCTCTCACCACTTACCACTTTTTTACCTTCACTTTCACTTTCTCTACAAACTTATTGTTTTCAGTTTGCATCCTTTCTCAAAACCCTTTCATTTTCTTCTCCAAACCATCGTGTGAACATGGCTTCCTCAAGCATCCCCACTTCCAGTTCTCAGAAATCAGATTCCACTGAACAATACGAAGAACCCTACAGAACTCTTCTTACAACCCATCAAAAATCTAGAAGTTCTTTCAGAATTAATCGTGGATTTCAACAGTCTTCAAGAGAATGGGTTTGATCTCTCTGAAGAAGTTAAGGCTCAAGGCTGGGACAGATATTTTGACCGACTGGTGGGTCCAACATTCCCAATTTTGGTAAAGGAATTTTGGATTCATGCTTCATCTTCCAATCATCAAGTTACTTCATACATTATGGGGAAGAAGATAGTTATTACTGAGGACCTCATTGCAAGATTAATAGGCTACAGTGGTGGTGTTGTATATTGCATTGACATGGCTGAAAGATGCGCTGATGTTGCCCTAATTGCTAGAGAAATCTTCACTCTGGGTCTTCCCTCCAGCAAGATAAGGGACTTAAAAGACCATCACAGAATATGGGCCAAGATCATTCTAGGATGCATAAACCACAGGAAGCCCACCAGCTCTCCTGACTACATCAATATTGATCAGCAATTTCTGATCTACTTCATCTCTCAGAAGATTAAGGTAAATCTGGATCATTTGCTGTTTAACCATTTAAGGACTAGTGTCAAGGAACCAGAGAAGAGGAGCGCATAAAAAGGGACTGGATACCCCTAAGAAGACTTATATCAGATATTCTAACAGAGAATAAGCTGATTGATCATCTTACAGAGGCTCAGGAAATCAGCTCTTTGGAAGCTACTGTTGGCAAACCGCTGAATGCAAGAATCTGAAGAAAATGAAGTTGATTGAGAACATCAAGAAGGGAACCCAGCGTCACTTCTTTTGCAACTATCTCCAGCAAAAGAAATCCCTCTGGATAACTTTCCTCTGTTCTCAGATATTGACTCTAAACCTGATATAATAGTCAGATATCTGGATGCT